GCTGCCGCGGCTCGAGGCCGCTGCGCCCGCCATCCGGGCGGAGTGGGATCGCCTGCGCGGGCGGCCGTCGGACTACAGGATCTCCGACTCGGAGCACGCGGGGACGCTGCACTCCTCTCCGGAGGAGTGGCACTGGGCGACGTTTGTGGACGGCGGCCGCGTGGTGCCGGCCTTGTGGGAGGAGTGCCCCGCGACGGCGGCCGCGCTGGAGGGGGTCCCGGGCCTGATGGTGGGCGACATGCCCTATGCATTCGCCTTCTTCTCGACGCTGCGGCCCGGCAGCCGGATCGCGCCGCACACCGCGCCGGCGAACCTGCGGCTGCGGTTCCACCTCTGCCTGCAGGCGGCGCCCGCTGCCTCCGGGCCGGAGGCGGAGACATCGCGGCCGGCGTGCGGCATGCGGGTGGCGGACGAGGTGAGGGAGTGGGAGGAGGGGCGCTGCCTCGTGTTCGACGACGCGTACGAGCACGAGGTGTGGAACGACTCGGCGGGCGAGCGCGCGGTGCTGCTGTTTGACATCTGGCACCCGCTCCTCTCGCCCGACGAGGTGCATGCGATCCGGCAGATGTTTGCCCGCGTGCAGGGCATGGCCGACGCCAGAAGGGGAGGCGCGGCCGCAGAGGACTGACTGCAGGAACACTGCTGCACGTGCCATATGTCGACGTATGTGACTTTCTTGATTTTTTCCCGAAAAGTTGTCGCCCACCTTTTCCTTGACAACCTTGTTCTTGGAGCACTTGGAGTGCAGTCATCAACCGCACATCCAGGGCCGGGGGGCTGAGAAGCACACCCAGCGTGCAGCGAGCCGGATGATTGGCATCGACGGGTTGCGGGCAAGAGAGCCCTAGCCCCGGGGGTGCGCGTTCGCAGGGAAAGGGCCGTAAAGTAAACACGGTTCTCCGGCGGTTTGTTCCTTCGCTTGCGTGTCCCCTAGCGGCGGAACGCCCTTCTACTCCACGCATGAGCTTCTTTTTTCTCTTTTTTCTCACTGGGAGTCTAGCCGGCAGGCAACTCACATGGCAGCGCACATCGTCGTCGCTACTGCACTGCACGCCTTGTCGCTTCGTGCGGTGGTGTTCCGCAGCGGGCTGCAAAGGAGCTCCGTCCTGCGGCTCTCCGAGCTGCTGCCGGAGCCTCCAGGTGCTAGCATCGGGGCCGCCACGGGAGCAGAGGTCGAGAAGAACGCGGACGGCATCCCCGTGTACATGCTGCGCACATCTGGCACGGTCACCCGCCTCGCGGCGGATGGCTTGGGCACGACTGCGGCGGACGAGGGCGTGGCGTTCGCGGAGGGCGAAGTTGTGAGCATCGTCACAACGGATGTGATCGAGATGGTGCAGCAGCAGGGCGGTGCGGCAGAGAGCGTGAGCTGCCTCGGGGAGACCATTCAGGTCGATGGCATGACGTTCGACGACTTGCAGGCGGAGGACATCTTGGATATCTCCTCGGAGGGCGAAGGGCAGGGTCCCGTCGTTTCGCTCGTGGTCGTGGAGCACCGCCCCCCTCTCATGGCGCCCCAGCTGGTCCAGATCGACGACGACAATAAGCGGGAGAGCGTTAGCCGCATGTGGGCCAGCATGGCCGCCCACGGCTTCTCTGGCTGGACGGCGCGAGTCAGCCAGCCGGGCAGGATTCACGCGGGCTGCAAGATCAGTAAACGTGGCGCCGATGACGGATGATGGTCTTGGTTCAATGCTTGATCGTTGCATGATGCCGCGGCTCGTACCCCTACGCCCGCCAGTTTGAGTTTGGTCTCCGGGACTCTCATTGCCTAGCTAGCGTAACTCCCCCGACCGCCCCTCCGGCCGACGCGCGCGCGGCGCCCGTCGCCCCCCGACGGGACTAAATAAATAAATTAAACCGACACCTCTACTAGGAGATGGGTGCACAGGAACCGGTCCCCGTCCTGCGGTCTTTGTGCAGGGTTCTTTGTGGGTGTGGTCGGCGACTAGCCGGGGTCGTCCTCCCGA